CCAACGATCCACCTCCCACTTGTTGTTTGGTACTTAGCATTAATAGTGTTAGCTGTAGCCATTTATAGCAAGAATCTTAAAACTAAAGGGGATGACAAGGAAAAGAGGAAGGAAAAAGAATAACGGGACAAACAATTAATTAAAGTATTTATAGGAGCATTAGATATTGTAATTACAAGCTACAATAATAAATCACTGACTAAAACTTCTAATTAAAATGACACTTGGTACGCTCGCCCATTTTCACTGGTCAGTCTGAACTTCGGTTTAGCACGTTGTACACTTATTCACCTAAGTTTCAGAATTTGTTCAGTTTAGCAGAGTTAGTACCCGTGTTTCAATAAATCAAAAGGTATCAGGGGAGTTCTTTAATAATGTTACGGTCATCTAGAATACCGAACTTCCTGAAAACGTTATCATATTTCCTCAGACAACGTTTAATGCATTTAATCAGTCTATCACGGCTATATCCTCTATCAATTAGAATTTTGAATATTTTGTGAAGATGTGAGGTAAAGATATCCAATCTAGTGCAAACATTACCATATCTAAGAACTTGACTTGAAAAAACGTTGTAGCCAACCTCGGTTGGGATGTTACTGTGAGGAAATGTAAGGGATACAACATGAAAATTAAAATCATCAGTTTTGTTATACACTGATATTTCTAGTCCTTCTGTGGAAATATTAATATTTAAATCAAGGTAGTTAATGATTTTATTATTGGAACCAGCTCGCTCCATCTCCAATGAATTAGGATAAATATCTTTAATCAATTTATGAAAGTAAAGGTAGTTAATAATAGATAAATCGTCAACATATCGTTTATTATTGGATAATATCTTTGCTAATCCCATTTTCTTTTCCTGAAGTAAACGTTTCATATAATTAAATTCCTTTTTGCCAACAGTGAGATCAGCTATAGGGGAACTTGAATTTCCACCCATAGGAATACCCTTGGTTTGTATGAATACAATCCCACCGAAGACGACATAAGTGTTATAAATAATAAATTTAACAGCCTCTTTTAGGTCATCTTGACTAAAGCAGGCATGACAATCATAGGTTTTATTGGAAAAGAAACATGTATTACTGTCTCTTTTAGAAATACAAATATATCTATTACGGTCTGAAAATATTAAATCAACAACTTCATTAATCATATTCTCTACTTCAATCAAGTCTAATCTGGTATAAAGAGTAGTAAAATCATATACTTGTATATTATAAACATCGCTATTTTTGATAGCTTCAAGGAATTCACTTGAGGAATCTATGCTCCAAAACATGTTTATACCGCTGTTGTTGTAGATTGCCTCGCAGTATTTCTTGAAGTATTTCCTCAAAAGTTTCAGACAACAGTTAACTTGGACGTTAAGTTGTTTCGTAACGCAAAAACGGGCACCTGCAATGAACCTCGCCTTGTAAGGGTTCTTATGAAGCTTAGGGTTCCAGAAGATGCGTGCTAGTCGCAAGTTTTTATCTTCAACTTGTACATTAAATCTCTCCTTTAGACTCTCAGATATATTATTGACATAATGAGTCTCGTCTTCGCTACAGGGTTTATATGTATCATTACCTATACATTCTAGAGTATTAGGATCAAAACCCATTTCATTGACAAGAGTTTTTACATAAAACCTTTTACAAATAAATGAAAAATTACCAGAAGCTTTGTCGATACTACAAATAATGTATTTACTTTTCAGCAATTTAAGACTTCTTTTAACATCATCTTTTTCCAGTGTGTTTTCTTTTATTTCAAATGTTTCAGGAAAGTTTTTCTTGTAATATTCAATACGATTGGAAACTATTGATAACACTTTTTCCTTCCAATCGCTGAACTTTACTTCTTTTTGACAGTACTTTCTACTTTTTGATTTTATAAATTTATCGACAGCTTCGGTAACTGACATATATATCTCATCTGGAGATTTAAATGTGGGAATTCTGTATTTACAACCGTAGGAAAGTACTTCCCTAAGTTCAACATTATCAACAATATCTAAATTACCAGTAACTACATGTCCATGAGGAGGATAATTGAAAGGGGAGGAGTGACAATCGCATGGACTACCTAAAATAGATTTAATATCAGAAATAGAAAGTTTCTTTAAGAATGAAGCATAGTTACAAATAGAAAGACTTATAGGATCATTATACTCATAATAAATCTGTAATGGTGTAAAAGACTGAATCAAAATGGGAAGCAAATCAATGACTGAAGTGTCAGAGAAAATAGATTTTAGGTTAAGATTATCAATGAATTTGCAATTAAATGGAACAATTATAAATTCTCTATTACTGGATTCAGATTTGTTCTGATGGTATTTGGGGGAAAATGTTGAACAGAAAGAGGAACATACGTTGTAAATCAATCCTGAATTATTTTGACTCAAAGAGTAGAGAGTGTCTAAATCTGATAAGCTATAACATTTTAATGTTTTGTATATGGAATGTTCTGAAGAGATGTTATCTTTCAGCCTGTTAATATCAGACTCTATGGTATCCAGAGACTTCTTAGGCTGAACTTTCTTCTTTCCATTCCCTCTGCCACGTTTGTATCGAGCAATCTGTCCACTAAAATAATTCATAACCCGATCTTGGGAGATGTTGCCCGTTCCTTTCTTCTTGTCATTAAGACCAAGAGGGAATGCTGTCCCAAGCTTCTCTATCCAGTAATCCTCCAGGAGAAGTAAATCATTTTTGACATCGGTGGACATGTCAGAATCAACATAATCTACAATCTGTATGGAAGCATCTGAGAAGACGTGACCAGGAATATTAAAATGTTCATATAAAAATGTGGATGATTTGGCTTTGACACAATTTCTGTGGCCATTGACTCTTTTATGAAGTGGTTGAGTTGTTTCTCCAACATATTGTTTTTTACAGGTAGAACAGGTAATAACATAAATAACATTATTAGTTTTACAATTAAATATAAAATTTGTATGTCCAAAGATAAAATCATTATTAAAAGTACTGCTCCTAAATGTATTAACAGGATTAAAACTGTTGCAAGTGAGACAACCTCTACCATTGCAACATCTAAAAGTGCTAGAAAAGACATTACTAGGGGTTACCCATTTATTCAAGGATTTTGAGAAAAATTTACCATTACGTTTAAGTCAAGAAGGTAACATCATCCCTTTCGGCGTTTCCGCCTAGACCCAACGACTCGAGATAGGCCAAGGACAACGGGTCGGACATCAACCTATTGTCATGGGGCTGCCATGATTGGGCGGGCGTTAGATGTCATGAACCTAAATAGTTCTCCCACCGACGCAGTGTAGCCTGGCGAGATTCTTCGCGACCATAAAAATCTCTTAGAACCGGATCTTGCACTGCCGCTGTTTCTCGTACCGTAGCATGGCGGACAGCTCACGCCAGAAAATGAAATAAACAGGTAAATACAGGATAAATCAGGAGATGTATGTACAACAACAAGACTTCAAGGAGGGCGCCCAAGAAAACAAAGATCAACCAAATCTCGGAACAAATGGCCGGGAGAGATATAAATGTAATTATAGAGCAATATCAAGAAAAGCTATCAATTATGTATCCAACGGGGCGGAAGAACCGACCACCAGTACTTGATACCATGATACGGACGTAATCTAAGTAAACTATAGGTAAAAATATAATATTAATCATAAGCTAAAATGTACTAATCTTTGTATTCTAAATGGGGAAAAAGAAGAAACATTGTCAGTCAGTCGAGAAAATTGTCAGTCAGGCTATATGGCAGCTTTGTAGATGTTGTGACTATGCTAGTAGTGGTCCCAGGCTTGCGACTGGAATTGCGGTGTTAAATCGATTTAATGGTACCAACGATCCACCTCCCACTTGTTGTTTGGTACTTAGCATTAATAGTGTTAGCTGTAGCCATTTATAGCAAGAATCTTAAAACTAAAGGGGATGACAAGGAAAAGAGGAAGGAAAAAGAATAACGGGACAAACAATTAATTAAAGTATTTATAGGAGCATTAGATATTGTAATTACAAGCTACAATAATAAATCACTGACTAAAACTTCTAATTAAAATGACACTTGGTACGCTCGCCCATTTTCACTGGTCAGTCTGAACTTCGGTTTAGCACGTTGTACACTTATTCACCTAAGTTTCAGAATTTGTTCAGTTTAGCAGAGTTAGTACCCGTGTTTCAATAAATCAAAAGGTATCAGGGGAGTTCTTTAATAATGTTACGGTCATCTAGAATACCGAACTTCCTGAAAACGTTATCATATTTCCTCAGACAACGTTTAATGCCTTTAATCAGTCTATCACGGCTATATCCTCTATCAATTAGAATTTTGAATATTTTGTGAAGATGTGAGGTAAAGATATCCAATCTAGTGCAAACATTACCATATCTAAGAACTTGACTTGAAAAAACGTTGTAGCCAACCTCGGTTGGGATGTTACTGTGAGGAAATGTAAGGGATACAACATGAAAATTAAAATCATCAGTTTTGTTATACATTGATATTTCTAGTCCTTCTGTGGAAATATTAATATTTAAATCAAGGTAGTTAATGATTTTATTATTGGAACCAGCTCGCTCCATCTCCAATGAATTAGGATAAATATCTTTAATCAATTTATGAAAGTAAAGGAAGTTAATAATAGATAAATCGTCAACATATCGTTTATTATTGGATAATATCTTTGCTTTGGATAATATCTTTGCTAATCCCATAAGACATAACGTAAATATAATGAATTTTGCCCCCCTTCCCGCATCCCTGTATAAGAAGTAAAATCATATTGACTTCACTATACTACAAGGTCCTATCCGTACCTCAAAATTTGGTAATCTGCTGTAAACCAAGCGACCAGTATGGAGTAACCCACCATGAACTCCATATTTATTCTTTCTCCCTTAATAAAATGTGATCAATTAACAACACTGAAAGCTTTGCTGCTACATTGCAGTTATATAAATTTCATTCTATCATCATACCGTTATCTGCTTAATAAGAATTGATCCTTTATAGCTGGGATATGCCACGCCCAGAAGAGCTGAGATTAACAGAGTACGGTTCAGAAGACAGTGATTACGATGAGGACATCTTCAACAACTCTATCATACACAGCTATGAGAAAAAGGTTCCTTTTTTTAAATCTCGTAGCAACAAAATTGATTTGAACATTTATTAACAGAATCCTTTTGGCTCATTCCGCTCTCACAGGTGTGAATTGCAGACAAAATTGTAAATCATAAAAATTTATTTTTATATTACACGACATTTTAATCTGCTGTCCGCTGAGGTTAAAATTCTATATTTGTATGCATTAGTGCATATATATTTGATAATTTACCTGTTGCGAGAAAGAAATGGTTAAAGTTTAAATGGTTTTCTCCACTTCTCCACTGTTTGACGATTTAACTATTAATCTAGTGCTCAGTACAAAATAAGTTTAAATAACAGATCTGGTCAACTTCACTATACAATCTACATTCACATCATGACCAGAGGGCAATTAGGTGATGAAACACTCGCCCGTTACCAGGCCTGCAGTAATTGGGTAAATGTATATGCAAGGTGGCTCTTGCACAACCTATCTCCATATATGGTATAATTAGTTAAATAGTCTCGCTAATCGACCGTAAGACGGACGCAGCTTCTTACCCCGATCTTGCTACGTAATAAGGTAGAGTCTGTGTGTGTGTGTACTGTGTGAGGCATCAGTCAGTGTACACATGAACATAGTACACACAGTACAGCTTATTTTATCTATAATGATAAAAGACTAATCACTGTTGGGGTACAATTCTTGCTAACTACCCCCGTACTACCTTTGTACAATGTACCTACAAGTCCTACATTGTAGTACCTGTGATAACATTATATGGTTTGGTACAAGCTATTGTACCGATAACCTAACGGCACACATTTAGGTATTTGGAATGTGGAATATCAATACTTTTGTATGCTCGGCTGAGGAGACAAAAAGACTATGCTGGATATAGACACATGTGTAAATCTGAAAATAATACGTCGTGATCGGTAAACCTATCTAAAATATTAGTTCTGAGATGACATGCGGCATTGTAGAGACACATGCTTTATACGGGGGGGGGGGGGGGGGGGGGGGGGGGGTGGGGGGGGGCCTTTATACAGACATATCTTTATTCGAGCTACAACAATTTGCAGACGTAGTTACTATTGTCCATTCTCAGTTTATTCAAGTTATATTATTATATATTATATTGTTATTATGATATTCAGCAGTCATCTTATTATTATTTATTAAAACCTTCAAAAAGACAAATTGTCTTATACATAGATTGATTCACCTCAAATGATATATAAATATCAGCCTCATATATCACAAGATTGAGAAACATCTCGAGATGCCGTTAAACTGGAACCACTCAATCGTGCCCTGTAAGTGTTTACAGTGCATTCCAGACTTCATGAGGAGGTGCCACGCTGGTTACCATGGTTACACGTGATACCTAACTACCAGTCATGTGATCTGTAATTATATAATGATACCGTAATTAGCTAATTAGACACTGTAGGATACCCGCACCATGACAACTTGTTACCATGACAACTTGTTACCGAGAATACCTGTCCACCTGCTGACCAAGTCATGCTCAGTTGAGCAATACGTTTTAGAGGGGTCGTGTTATGCAACATTTGATCACTACTACGTGGAGGAACATGTCACCTGAGTGCAGATAGGAGATTATTGCACAACATGATGATACGTAAAACTAAATACTCTGTAAGTATATAATTCCACTGCTGTCACTTTTAATCTAGTGGTAGCACTCACAAAATCAGTAAATGGTAATAACTACTACGCCCATGGTAGCACAGGTGTTTTTAAAAGTTATAACTTTCTAGTGAATTGTAGGACGGTGACCGTAAAACAGTGTTCGTATTATAAAACTCGATATTTTATTCCTCGCCTTTACTATTCGTGCATAAAATACGTTATTAATCCGCCGCTCTAAAAACTGCTGTCATTAATTTGTCGTTATTACCAGCAGTATAAGCTCCATAAATTTCTTTTCTATGACAAAAAACGGATTCGACGCTTTATTTTCCAATCTTCCCTCGAGTCGTAACTACGGAGAATGAAAAGAATTTACAGAGGAATTGAGTGATGAAAAGATTGTTTATGAGCATTAATTATACCTCATATGGAGCTGTTGTTTCCTCGTCACAAGGTTTTCATTAAGCCTTTTGACGATACATGGGTAACACAGTCGCCACACTTGTGCAATTATATGAGTTATACACATAAATACTGGTGTCGGACCAACGTATGATTTGTCTGTGAACCTACCAAATGTTTGAATTAAGGAAGTGTCCAACCTCCCTGTCAGGCAACTCTTTTGTGTCTCCAAATATTACTCTCCTTCACAGTTAAAGCACACAAGTTAACTCCCGGTGTGTACACTGTGTACTTTATACATATTATTACTGTGATATTACTGTACCGTGTGTATTTTGTGGTATCCCATGTGGCCCTGCCCTCAATTCCACATTATACATTGTTTGTAGGGTTTTAGTGTGGTGCACATTTACTATATTTATTGTGATAAGTTTGTTAATTAAGTTTTTTATGAATAATAATTACGCTAATCATGTAAATATAATTTTTTTTCTTCCTCTTTCATTGTTCGTGCTACGCCTAATTAATACTGAACTGCTAGAAAATAGTATTTGAAGTTTGAACGTTATTAACAATAAATCAGGCCTTGAGAAAATGTAATCTTTTAGATGAAAGACATGTCAAATGAGCTTTTGAACTTTTTGGGACTTCTAGTTGTCACACTGACGTGTCAGCGTCCCGTGCAATGTCACGTGGGTCACTCTTTGGTCTCTCTCGTCATTCACGTTATAATAATATGTTATTAGTCATATCAAATCTTCAGTGTGACAACTAAAAGGTAACTACAGGGTGTCTCACTCTATACCTACTAGTCTTTGTTGCTCAATCTTGTTAAACTCGGAGCTCTGTTTAGACAGTAGAGACCGCGCACGAGTAAGTGTTAACCATGATTACTACTCGCTAAGTCTATAATCATGTAAGTGTTCACAGGCAATCATACTACGTTTATTACTAATCATCTGACATTTGCCGTTACTTATGAATTATTAAATAGTTATCATTAGCGTGTTAAAGTTTCCAGTTATCATTTAAGATTTTATTTGTTGTGGGTAAGGTTCTGGACATTTTAGGACCGTAATGTCTCAGTCAATAAGAGAAATGCTTAATTTGAACCTAATTCAGTTTCTTGTAAATCACACATCAAACGAATTTGAGAAATTTTCTTTGTTCCACAACTTGGCTGTGTGGTATACTGTTATTACTGTATTGTTGAATAGTATTCTAATAGACAATAAGATGATAATCAAATACATCTCCAGAACACATTCGTACACTATCAGTAGATTTTAGCTTCTGTTTGTATTGTGTCATCTCCTGATTTCTATTAACTTACGTGTAGCAGTCAATAGTTGCACAACCCAGTGCATATGTACAGTTTTGCATTATTATTATTTTATTATTATCCGTTATCGTTATGTCTGATAATTCTTGCTTTATTTGCTGTTTTATGGATATAAGGTTGCTCAATGCTGCTAATATTATACCGATGTTGCAACTTAATGCCCTGACAACAATACTTATCACAGTCCTCTAGCTCCCTTGACATTTATCTCATCCATATTAAAACGTTCCTCACCTCATCCCCAAGTATTGTACGTCACTTTAACACGTCACTTTAACACGTGACTATAACACGTGACTTTGTTTCAGAAGAGCAGATGTACTAGAGGTAAGATCTGCGGAGTGACCATGTTGGGTGTTACCCTACTCCTGACCTCAATAGTAGTCACAGTCACAGTTTACCCCTACTTCCCCCGGTCATGTGACACAGCTACTGGTCTCCTGCCTGGTGATATTATCCCTGTGTGAGTACTCACTTATATCTTTCTTTCAGATTATAATTAACTAATTATTTACTAACTAACATCTTTATTTTTGTTCTGTGATACTGCTAAAATTGAAAGTAACTAAACTGGGAAAATATGTATCTGTACTAGATTTTAAGCTTGTCGAAATTCCCATGGCAACGGCTCAAAAACACGGAAAATTGACCTTTCGCAAGGAAAAAAGTAAGGTTGTTAGAAAAGTTTTACTGTTCATCAAGTAGTGAAAGTACTCTCTGCAATTATATGTATTGTACTCTAGTCTCTGCAATATGTATTGTACTCTAGTCTCTGCAATATGTATGTATTATATCTTGCAGATAATTCTACTTATTTATGTTTCTCACTGCATCAAATCCCATCAATTATCAGCATTTGATGCGTCGTACTACACAAAACACACGTCATACTTATACACCTATAGATATTATATAGATATTCTTGTCCTTCAGCGGTTATTATCTGTACCAGCTTTAAACTACGAAACACAATGTTTCTTGTGCTCCCTAACATTGCGCTCCCTAACATTGCGCTCCCTAACATTGCGCTCCCTAACATTGCGCTCCCTAACATTGCGCTCCCTAACATTGTGCTCCCTAACATTGCGCTCCCTAACATTGCGCTCCCTAACATTGCGCTCCCTAACATTGTGCTCCCTAACATTGCGCTCCCTAACATTGTGCTCCCTAACATTGTGCTCCCTAACATTGTGCTCCCTAACATTGTGCTCCCTAACATTGTGCTCCCTAACATTGTGCTCCCTAACATTGTGCTCCCTAACATTGTATCTTTAACTTTTTTTTAATACTTTTCAAACTACTCTAAAGTTATTAATAAATCAACAAACATCTGATCAAGTCAACGTAACATATAAATGAAACTCGTTCTTAAATAATGTAATATTATACATAATGCATTATATAATACTGCGTATCCAATAAACCGCATATTTCGATATCGTGATCTTCGCGTTTACTAAAAATACGAATAATCTTTCACGAATAATGATGTCGTGAAACTAGAGTAATAATAACTCAGAATTAAATAAAAAGATTAATCATCAACACTAATCAACACCTTCGAAATTTTGTGATCAGATGGAAAATCAACTTCACTGCTCATAATTATATCTCCCTTTCCATAATCGTGTGGTGGTATTGAGCGTACCCTGTCCCTCTCCTGGAAAGCGATCAACCTGATCACCATCAGTGTCATAAACAACAATTGTTACTGACGGTTCTATTGATGGTTTCCTCTTCTTCCTCTTCTTCTTGCAGTATATAAGCAAACCTATCGCAAGACAAAGCACTGCTAGCAGTATTGAAGCGAGTATGATAGAATAAGACTTCTTACTTATGACCTGAAGAGTTTGCTGATACACACAAGATCCGTTGCTCTGTGAGCTCCAGTCCCACATATCCCCCTCCGGACAGACACAGCTGGACTGAGTATTGTTAGCTGAGGTACCAGAAGGACATTCTGTGCATCTCAGAGCACCCCTAACACTCACTGAGCCTTGTGGGCAATTGTGACAGCTTGTTTCGTTCCAGAACATTCCAACGTTGCAAGAACAGTAGGCAGAACCAGCTGCAGACACTGTTCCTTCCGGGCAACCTAAACATGACGTCTCTCTTTCGCTATTGTATGTATTTTGTGGACACAATTCACAGGAACCACCAGTTTGATCTTCCAAATCGGGCCATTTCCATACCTGCCCTGCCACACAGCTACATGATGTATTGTTATTCAATGGTTGTGATCCTGATGGGCACCCAAAACATTGTAGAGCACCCGGTGGACTTGCAGAGTTTTCAGTACAACTCCGGCATTCAGCTCCACTCCAGAACATGCCGGCTACACAAGAACAGTGTGCTGAACCGGCCGATGAAGTGGTGGACCTGGGACAAGTGGTGCAGGAAGTCTGAATACCTGTCACTGCTTTATAAGTGTTAGACGGACACCGTTCACAGGATTCTAATCTGCGGTATTTACCCGGTGAACACTCCCTAGCACAGCCCAGAAACACATCCTCGCCGTGGTTACAGTTGTGATGAGTGTCATTGTAGCTGCATGATGTCCACTCAGGTGAGGTGCAGATGACGTCATCCAGTGTGATCTGGTAATTATGAGACGTCCACAACCGTCCAGACCTCCAGCTGCTGTTAGTGTCAAATCCCAGCAGTTTACAAATGGCAGTGGCGGAATCATTGCTGAACCCATCACGGCACACGGTGCCACCATTGTACAGCAGCATACCTTCTCGGTACTCTGTCGTTATTTCATTCTCATGGTGGTCCACTAACTTGAAAATGCAACCTGAAATATATCCCCTATAACTGCCTTACATCTGTGTATTTGTATCTTACTTAAGTAAATATTTTAAGGAAATAAGATTTGCCGACGCTTTAACCAAGAACCAATGGAACAGTTTCATTTACACTATTATACCATAATTAGGAAACATGATTTATTGGTCGGGATAACTCAAACCTTTACAAGTAAGAAACACATCTTCATCGTGAACACAATCATTTAGAGTCGTATTGAAACTGCAAGATGTCCAGTCTGTAGAGGAGCAGCTGACTTCTTCAATTGTTATAGAGTACCCTTCTTGGAGAGACGGCCAATGAGTCGTATTCGACCAGCTGCTATGTGATTTGAATCCCATAAGGTTACATATAGCAGTGGCAGCGTTACTGCCGAACCCGTCGTCACAAACTGTACCCCCGTTGTACAACAGCAGACCTTCCTGGTGTTCTGATGTTATTTCTGTTCCATATTGGTCTACCAATTTGAATTTGCAACCTGAAATAAGTCATCTTTCAAAACACATAATGCGGCTATAACGAAGGTACGATACATTTTGTTGTCTACAAAAGATGGTAGTCACATTAGTTGTTTATAGGAGGGACAGAAGCAAACATGTTGTTAAATGTACAGTGCACACTTCTTACCTCCATCTGACACCAACAAGATGATAATGGTGAGCTTTAGAAGATGCATTCTTACGATAAAGAGCAAAACAGTGAACGACTTGAGCTTACCGAAACAACCATTGTGAAAACGTTTGCGGCTACATTTTAGCCTATCTAATTTATCATTACATCTTTAAAATCATTTCTGTAAAGTCTCCCTTTCTCTTTATCAAATTTGCATAGCAGATTTAGAGAAATAGTTCACCGGGATTTACCAAATCTGACCGTTACAATGACCGCGATCTCCTGTTTGATATTTAGGAAAAGATCGTGTTTAACCTTAAACTGACTACACGAAGTTTACTGAGTAAAGAAGAAAAAGGCAGTGCTAGCTCGGTGGTCACGATAAACTGCATAATATCCAGTCTCCATTTTCCTACTTAGCGGTATTTTTCTATCTATTCACTTCATTTGGTCAACGGTCAATGCAGAAACTTACATAGCAAAGGCATTTAAAGAACAAATCCTTGACGCAATTTAACAATTATTGCAGCCTCTCAAATTGCAACAGAAGATCATAATAACTGGTAATATGTGGAATGCTGGTCAAATCCCATTCATTGCGGATTTTGCGAGTCATTCTCACCCAGAATCTCATACATTGATTTACATTGATTATACCGGTCTCCAGATGCGGCATTAGGTGTGATGAGAATTGCTGAATTGCAATTCGTAATGCCGCCAGGGCTGAACAGGTCTGTTGACGCGATCCAGCAATTAAATATGCATGACGTACAATACAATGGTTATAATATTACGTACTGACTTGCTGGAAATTTTCAACTCAATCAGCCAAGAAACGTGGAGCAGGTCTACTCTGCCTAGAGTTGGTATCGCATGTTGTAATATATGCCATGCGAGAAAGAAAAAATCGCAGTCAGAGATCCAGGGCCAGTAACTAAACAATCCTTCTTCCACCAACTGTAAATAGTTTTACATATTTATATGTAAATTTGTAAATATGTAATTTATATATGGTTTATAGACCACCTGATCGTCACATTCTTTCAGACACTATGATCTTTGGCTATATCCTGATCTTACCACCTTAACTTTCCAAGGAAAAGTTGAGATACAGATAAAGGTTTGATATTATATTTGCGGTTCTGATACATTACCAATCGTCCAAATTCGTCAGAAAGCCATAAACGGAGTAAATATAAACGGAGTAAATATCATTGGTTCCTATTTATAGTTCTATTGAATGATGAATCTTCTTTGCTTACCAATTATTGTTTAAACACTAAAGTTAATAAGAATCTAATGAGAAGAGTTTTGTGTAAAGAGTGAAATGTCCCAGGTGCTCAAAAGAACGAAATGTATCGTGTTGAACTCACTCGACCAAAACATAACGGATATTAAACTGAAGCAGAAGGACGGGACCCTGCTTATGACAGAGGACTTCTCTTTTGTATCGTAAGTATGAGCCGAGAATCCTTATTTGGGCATTATGTTGTTTGCTGTCAAAAATGTATAGCGATGGAGGAAAAGCCTAATTTAATGTAAACAAGCAAATGTCCCTAGGACCCAAAATTATTCTGATCTCAAACTTGATACATATAATTAGAAAACATATATTTATTCAACCTATAACTCGAAATTTATCTCAGAGAGCACGAGTTTCTAGTGATTCCTCTGCGAGCGAAGCTAGAGGAAGAGGATTACACACTGGTGATAGAGTACGAGGCGGAGGTGCGGCACGCCCTCAAGGGTTTCTACCGCTCTTATTACACAACCAGTTCCGGGGAGAAGAGGTAAAAATCAAATCTTTTATATTTTACTATGATTCAAATAAATGTGCATATATTGGAATCATTTGATACGCCAGTTAAACACTAAACACAGTTAACTTACTTTGTGATACTTCAGAGTTGCAGCAGTGACTCAGTTCGAGGCGTCGTACGCGCGCCACGCCTTCCCCTGCTTTGACGAGCCTCAGTATAAAGCCACATTTACCATCTCCATCGTGAGGGACACGGAGCATACAGCTCTCAGGTATTTATATATCTACATGTGGTCCATTGTATTAATATCTACTTGATAGATAGTAGTGATATTATGTACTATCTTTGTAATTTTGAATCGGGAAGGTTCCATACAGACCAACAGTCGAATCGTATTCAAAAATCAAACCCTGATACAGCTCCCTTAGTTAACAGAAAGTTTAGAATAAGCAACACAACTACCCTAACAATAACCACGCCCCAGTAACATGCCAAAGTTTAGAATAAACAACATAACCACCCTAACAATAACCACGCCCCAGTAACATGCCAAAGTTTAGAATAAACAACATAACCACCCTAACAATAACCACGCCCCAGTAACATGCCAAAGTTTAGAATAAGCAACATAACCACCCTAACAATAACCACGCCTCAGTAACATGCCAAAGTTTAGAATGAGCAACACAGCCACCCTAACAATAACCACGCCCCAGTAACATGCCAAAGTTTAGAATAAACAACATAACCACCCTAACAATAACCACGCCTCAGTAACATGCCAAAGTTTAGAATAAGCAACACAGCCACCCTAACAATAACCACGCCCCAGTAACATGCCAAAGTTTAGAATAAACAACATAACCACCCTAACAATAACCACGCCTCAGTAACATGCCGAAGTTTAGAATAAACAACATAACCACCCTAACAATAACCACGCCTCAGTAACATGCCGAAGTTCAGAATAAACAACATAACCACCCTAACAATAACCACGGCCCAGTAACATGCCAAAGTTTAGAATAAGCAACATAACCACCCTAACAATAACCACGCCCCAGTAACATGCCAAAGAACGCGACAGTAGCATACGGAGAGGGTGGTTTATTGTTGGACACGTTCGAGAAAAGTGTTAAAATGAGTACTTATTTAGTTGCTTTTATGGTTATGGACTTCACAAGTCGATCAACTACCACATCTTCTAATGTGCTGGTAAGTGGCCTGCTTTTGCATTAGTTACCAAACGTTTCTATAAACGTTTTGAGAAAGATACATTTTAGCAATAATTGTGTGGTAAATTCGGGTTATGATTTCTTTCATCAATCGTATGGTTGTTTTGTGCTATTGGAATGTGGATAATTGAAACGTTCCCCAGATACGGATCTGGTCTCGCTCGGAAACCGAACACCAGACTGAGTACGCTTTGGAATGCGCTAAGAAACTCCTGGAGTACTACGAGGGCTTATTTGGAATTCCATTCCCTCTTCCTAAACAAGGTATTTATCCCCCATTTATTACACAATTGTTACTAAACAAGGTATTTGTTACTAGTGACACTACTAGTGTTACTAGTGACACTACTAGTGACACTAGTAACACTAGTAGTGTCACTAGTAACACTACTAGTGACACTAGTAACACTAGTAACACTAGTAGTGTGAGTTAAATGTACTCATTGCAGTCTTCTGATCCTTAGATATTATCCAACAATGGAAGACCAAGTTCGGTTTTATTGGCCACTAGTTAGGAAGGTTGAGCACTTAAACTTGCTAGCTCCAGTTAACTCCATATCATAACGGTGGTGAATCGTTTCGAGCACAGTAAATTAGTGCAATCGTGTGAGACCACTAGCTAGTTCGTTATTCCCTAGGCACTACAACCTCTCTGCATTCATCTTAGCACACTAGTGTGGAAATCTCCAAATAGTTTCTGTTGCTGATGCTACAGAAACCATGTATTAAGTACAAGTCAATAATGCGACCATGTCCTCCAGATCTGGTAGCAGTGCCTGACTTTAACAGCGGTGCCATGGAGAACTGGGGGTTAATTACCTACAGAGAAACCAGTATATTGTACGACAAAAAAGAGACCAGTAACTCATTTAAAAGACGTGTTGTGAGTGTTATTGCGCACGAACTGGCCCATCAGTGGTTCGGCAATCTCGTCACTATGAAGGTACGTGGTCTATAAAACAAATTAACTGATTTAGTCTGATTTGATATCACTGTGTGGTAGTATATCTGAAGCAAGTGTCTTAGTAGAGCAGAATTTAGAGAAATCTTTATTTCAGTGGTGGAATGATCTGTGGCTAAATGAAGGGTTCGCTAGCTACATGGAGTACGTTGCCAGTGATGTGGTAAAACCTGAGATGGGCATGGTGAGTACAGAGCAATGTAGAGTTCTAATTTTGTCTTGAGTTTTAACAACTGTCTCTTTTCTCCTACTCCTAGTAAGTAAACATGATCAAATGTACCTGATTATAACGCATACCACTCAACCACTGTCTCACATTCGACACCCCACAGCAAATGTACCTACAGAAGAATGGAATGCAGCGTGCTTTAAGTGCTGACTCCTTCTCAAACTCTCACCCAATTTCAAGTGAGGCTAACAACCCAGCGTCAATTGCGGAGATGTTTGACGCTATTTCTTACAGAAAGGTTTGCTTACTGATTCTTGATACTTTAGATTCGCTCAATTATTCAGCAGATTTGTTCGATGAACCTATGAATAGTCCGAATTATGCATAACCATAGAGCGTTGCGTTCCTCTATTTGCATAACAAAGATTAAAATTCTGATATATTATTCATGGGACAGGTTTTATTATATTAGATATTATTCGAGGAACAAGAATTTTTATTTTTTGTTTCATTTATCGACATGATTCAGTGTATTTCGAGCTACACAGTCGACATCAAAAGAAAGTTTCGCCTGTATGAGTACTTAATTAAAGTAGTGGCACAAGGAGAGTGGAGACTTAATTAAGTGCTTTTTACTACATCTGGCCTAGCATTAATTAAAAGTTAAAAAAAAACGCTGGGTCCCCGCGTGTTACCGGGTTATACACCACATTGTACCTCTATTATAAGCACCATAAAGTGAAACTTTACCAAATTAGCCATCTTCTGGGTGGTGGATTACAATAAAGTTCGCCCATTAAATGTTTATTAAAAGCTTCTCCTTGCGGTTAACATGTTATGAGGAAATATTACATGTAACATATTAGGCTGGGTATAGTCTCACAGCCTCTAGGGGAAACCGGTCACTGTGGCGGAAGTCACTGCGGCGGTGTACAGTCCGGCGGAGGACGGTACAGTGGAGGCCGGTACGGCGGTACTTTCCAAAAAGGTTGGACGGAACGGCGGATCACATGACACCCACTTTACTTTGGACAGTACGGCGGCACTAGAAACTGTACCTATAAGATAGACCTAGCACTGCTAATATAACAAAATCGATTAGCTTAAAAAAGTTCTATTTTCCTCTTTGTTACTTCGAAATTAATTTTAATTAAAATTAAATTGGATAAAGTTTAACATATGAGGGACCACATGCAAAACTGGTATATCTGTTTTTGATAGTTTTGAGATAATTGTATTTTACTGATTTAAAAGATTCTATATCATGTGTAAAAAACACTTCTAAAAAATGGTATATCTGTCTATATACCATTTTTTCCCGATCCATGACTCAAAGTGCCGAAGGCACAAAAGAGTCAAGGACAAGGGTTAGCGATCGAGGTTTTTTTGTATATGGTAGCTTTGCGACCGTACCTGCGAGCGTGCGTGCCTGCGTACGTTTCGCCCACGTGTCTGCCTGCGCAAAGTTATTTTGCGCGATCATCTGATTTAACAATTGTTGGCGCGCGGTGCTGAAATGTTCAAGTACATTGTTAATTTCACCATGTACGCATCCCGCTATAGGGACTAATTGATAGCATAGTATTATTATTTTGAGTTAGTATTACTATTACTATTTTGCACAGATCCGTGTCAGGTATATGGTTAAATAGAAATATATAAATAGAAATATACACGATTTTCAAATTCAATATGGAATTATATCAACTGGGCGACGCTCGGCCTGTCACTCCGCCATATCTGCATGCTTATAAACAGCAAAGACTGGGGTCCCCAGGTGGCATTGAATATGATGAAATACTCCATCACGGATCGGGAAATTGAGCGGCCATCCACAAAAGAAAAGCGGCCACACTTCTTGTTAAAACTAGAATTGTTCCAAACTGGTATATCTCACGATATACCATTTTTTCTATACTATTAACAATAAAATAATTTAACTGAGAATGGTATATCTGAAGATATACCATTTGGGTTGGCTAAAGTCTATAAAATGTGTATTATAGATATACCGGTTTTATAGAAGATAAGTTTCTTGAAAGTGGTATATCTGCAGATATACCACTTTGTTTTCACGATTGTTAAAAGCTAAAATGGTATATTGTAACGTATACCAGTTTTGGAAAATAAAATTTCACTTTTTTTCAAAAATTTCTTCAAAATTGTTCAAAAAAAGTTCCAAAGATGCACCTTTTCACCCTGAAGACTATGTGCTACCTGCGCAAAATTGGTATAATTTCAGATATACCAGTTTTGCATGTGGTCCCTCATATATACATTGTGATTGCTAAGATCAGTTCTTGTTCCACTTTCTGGTTCGTATCAGATCGCGTCCGGTCTGCACAACGGTGGTTAAGCGAGTGCATGATGAGCTTGTTACGGTGAGATCTCATATCACTGCGCCGAGATGCAATGGGTAATAACAAGGGCATGAGAACACGTCACGAGGGATCGCATCCAGGAATCTGATCAACCGTAGCCAAGAAGAGAGGTTGCTCAGTGAAACGTAGATAATGATAGAGGCAAACAGTATATAAAGCGGATCAAAGTTGAGGAGAGTATCTCATTAGAACTACCATCTCCAGTACTGCAACACTACAACTTGAGAACAACAGCTACAACGATGTTCGATGAAGATACGGTGAAGGTGGTCAGAGGAAGAACTGCTAACAGTCAGAACCTTCTACACCGTGATTTCCGCTACTCCAAAGATGGAAAGCCGACTCTGGATGGACGACAGGCTTGGAGGTGCGTGAAGAAGAACGACAGATGCAAGGGACGACTCTACACCCTCAACGGATCCCTGGTGTCAGTCACCCAGCCTCACAACCACAGTGCCGACATAGCTGACTGCGAAGTCCGAGAAGCCCTCTCCCAAGTCCACGATCTGGCTGCGACTACGATTACTCAGAACCACAGAATCTACTGCTCCGTTACTGGCTCGCTGTCTCAGGCTGCTCGCTTCCTCCTCCCCAGTGAAAAAGCGGTGAAGAAGCAAGCTCAGAGAGCCCGCCGGAAGGAGAACCCTGTCCCTAGAGCTCCGACGAACCTGGCAGACCTTGAACTGGAGGAGGACGACTGCATGTCTCTGGCTGGCGAACCTATGCTCCAGTTTGATAACAAAGACGACGAGCTGCTCAGAAGTGTTATGTGAATTATTGATTGCTGTAACTTCTTGATAATGATTTGTGGGATTTAGATATTATTAAATCCCACAAAGTTATATTAACTTTTTGATTTTCAACAACTCAATATTCTCGATTTACATTGTCTGCAAAGCCCTGAATAAAAAAATGAACAACTAAACTAACAAGAATTATACAAAATGATAAAGAGAAAAAATTAAACTTATAATGCGAATCTAGAACAAAACTTAGAAACAAGTTGAATGTGTAAGTTCTGTCTTAGGTACAGTTAGTAGTAGTACCGCCGTACTGTCCAAAGTAAAGTGGGTGTCATGTGATCCGCCGTTCCGTCCAAACTTTTTGGAAAGTACGGTCGTACCGGCCTCCGCTGTACCGTCCTCTGCCGGACTGTACACCGCCGCAGTGACTTCCGCCACAGTGACCGGTTCCCCTAGAGGCTGTGAGACTACAATAGTAGTACAGTAGTAGTATTGCTACATAGATGATATTGTGATGCCAATCCAATTAACTAAACTATGAAATTGATATGTAATGAAAGTGTAAACCTGTCTAATTCCAGGGGGCATGTATAATACGTATGTTGAACGAAGTTTTGGGAGATAAGTTGTTCTACGAGGGTATCAACAGTTACCTCACTACATACGAGTATTCCAACGCGGAGCAAGGTCAACTCTACACCGCTATTAACGAGGTAATTAGATAATGAGTTAATGAGTAAACTATTAAATTGTTTATCGTTTGTGTACTTGTCAATTTTATAAATTCAGTGTTAATCAAGATAAGATGCCGCCTCCCCTCTCCACCTGAACAACAGATAAATTTGCTGAAAAATATCTTGATAAGTTTCACTTATTTTGGTGAATGTTCAACTGGTTTAGGTCATTTCTATTTGTGCCACATCAAAGTGAGGGAGACACTCCACATTCCACATCCACAATCCACATCAAATCCTACATGAAAGTGGGGGGCTCCTTATATTTTATATGAAACTGAAATGAAATTTGATTTTTGAGATATTCAGAGTTCAAACCCCGTCTGAGGCAGGCAGGCCAGGTCACCAAGCTGTGATTGGTACAGGATTTATCCTGGTAATTATGCTCGGAGGATATCAGTGACGCGATTCCCACTACAGTGTAAGCTGCAGTGTAGCTGTAATAGTCTACCGCCATTCGGAATGAGTGTGAACTTGCTTACCAGGCAATCATGATTTCCGCTTGGTACTCATCAGGTCTCTAAGAAAGCCAACAGTGTGCTGATATGCACTGTCATATGTACTTCCTAGAAGCAGCACACGGCCCATTTCGGACTTGCACGAGTTATAATTATATTTTAGATAAGCATTGTTTTCAAAAATCTGCCCCCGGATAATGGATTATATGTCTCTCTCTCTCTCTGTTCTGGTCAACGGTTTCTGGCCTCTTACGATAAAGAAGGAGGCCTTCTCGCCGTGCCCACAGAATGCAACTCCTGCTAGCTGCATTCCAGGACTCCCAAAGTATATACGAAATCATAAAATAATAAATATCAATGCAACAGACCTCTGGAGTCTTGAAGCTGTCACTACCTGTCTCAGAGCAAACCCACTTCGGTTGTGGTACTTCGGTGGGCAGACAAGGGACTTCCGAGCCAGGTCATCTCCTGGAATTTGTGCTATTATTAGTTTTCCTGGGAGTGGGTTATTTCCTGATGTTGTTTTCCTGAAATTGTGTTATTTCCTGGTGTTAATTCCTAGTAGTTTACCCAAAGAGATCTTCCTTGTCTAGTCTTTTTGACTGTTCCACAAACTTTATGATGTGGTTGAGTTTACTGTTGATAATTTCCTCCATTGTGAGTAGAGGTTTACCAAATATCCTCAGTCTGATAGTCATCAGCTGTACACATTCGCAGAGGAAATGTTGTGATGTTTCTGCTTCCCCTGGGCAGTGTTCGCAGTCTTGTGTCTCAAAGTTGACGTTGTTGGCCCTAGTCTGAAAGTAAGCTAGTGGGCTGTGCCCTGAAAGTAGCCATGTTAGCCATCTGAGGTGAGTTCCTGTGATATTAATATTCCTGTATTTGTATTTGTTAAGGAATAGTCCAAGAGGGATTTTCCCTTTATCACTGAGGTCGACCTGTCGGTATGCGTTGAGGTGTAGTTTGAATAGGTACTCATCGATTGCGTTGTTGATGATTCCTTCAGGTAGTGGGAGGAATGGTTCAGGTCCTATGGGGATACTGCTGGATCCCTCTCTTGCGAGTTCGTCGGCAAGTTCGTTACCGTGTACTCCTTCGTGTCCTGGGACCCACCTAAGTTCTACTCGGTGGGGGGTACCTAATGATTATATGTAACACCGCTTCCAAATTTAACATCCAATAAAATACAAATAAAGATTACCTGCTAACAATAACTTGTTAATAATAACTGAGGCAGTGCACCATAGCTGTATCTATTACATTGTTCATTATTCAGCACTAGTTCAGAAATCATTATCCACAAATCAATTATCCATCATTTATCAATTGTCCAGTGTAGAAAGCATTATTCATGCCGCTATAAATTATAATCATAGACTCAAATTATATGCCGAACGTGATCAACATTGTTCGAGGGAGATTTCCATGCGTTCATATGTGTAATATTAAGCATATTAAGTAAAAACTATAGAATGTGATGTAGGCTTATTTCAATAAATGTGTGCGAGATGTGGCAATTACTAAGTCGCTATACAGTATAGTTAAATGGAGAGCACGTTTCCTTGATTTTTGTAGGGGATTTATCGGGGATTTGACCCTTGTAGGGGATTTATGTTCCGGGGTATTTGGAACATGTTTAGATAGTTAGTACCTGTCCCAAACCATCAGAAAAATCAAGTTTCGAACTCTCAACCCACTCAGGCCACTCCCAGGGGCCACGCCCATCCCAAAATAGCTGAAATCCAGGTCAAATCAAAACTGAGAATCTTTACCCCTGTAGGGGATTTATGTTCCGGGGTATTTGGAACATGTTTAGGTGGTTTAATAGTTAGTACCTGGCCCAAATCATCAGAAAAACCAAGTTTCGACGTCTTGACCCACTCAGGCCACGCCCAGGAACAATGCGCAACAATTTGGGATGGACGGCCTGAATGGGATTGGATGTGTTAATAATTTATTCATATCTTATTGTCTATAAATACGAGCAGTTTGGTGAGACTTCTGACGGCTACCGTCGTAGATTCTACAATGATAAATATTGTAACATACGTGCGGCGTGCAAAATCCCCTACAAAATCCCCTACAAAATTCAGGGAAACGTCTTCTGAATGATTTATGTAACGCGCGATGTCTTAGATATTGAAGCGCGCACGCGCACCTGCATGGTTAATTTATTTCAATCTGTGCACTGAGTAAATGATGTGTCGACACATCGCCTGTTAAATGGCAATTAAATATACATCGATTAACTGTCGAAATTGCTGAAATGAGAAATTATCTTACAATAAATATCTATAAAATATATGTTTACCTTTTTAAATCTTCTCAGCGATGCGCGATTAAAATTAACAAATACTAACCCTTCTCATCTCTTTTTTCTCTTTAGACTGCTAAACACATGGATCAAGCAATAGACATCGGCGAGTTCATGGGAAGTTGGACGCTACAGATGGGTTACCCTATAGTTCATGTGAAACTAACTGGAGAAAACAAAGTCCAGATTTCTCAGACGAAATACAAGTTCCCCGGCGAAGTGGAGACTGAGTCCCCCCTCGGGTGAGTTAATATATCAAGGGTATATTTTCAAAACATCTGTTGATTTCGTCTAGAGTGACCTGCCGCCCGTCCACTCTCTGTAAGTAACTGTAACATAATCATCAAATTCCAGTTATAAGTGGCACATACCGTTCTGGTACCAAACAAACGAGGAAACTGGAAGCAACAACTTCCTCTGGGTATCTGAAGACTCGGTAGAGTTTGAGACAAAAGAGAACACCAAGTGGATCCTGGGAAACTCTCTAGCAAGAGGCTTCTACAGAGTCAACTACGATGCGGAGAACTGGGGCAAGATTATAGATTTACTACACAACAGTCATACAGTATTTCATGAAGTGGACAGGATGAAGATTATAGACGATTTGACGTCCATCAGCCAGTAAGTACTCAAGTTTTACTTACCACAGTGTAGTAATTGATTGTGTAGTAATTGATATAATAACATAATTATGATAGTTTGTGGTTTTGTGGAGAATAACATCACTATCACTGCGTCCAGTGAAAAGTTTTAACTTATATCTTCAACTTTACTCAGTACTATATAAGCTGTATATTTTAATCCTACAGGGTAGTAGATGATGTGGATATAACACTGGCGCTTGAAGCAAGCTTGTACTTGAGGAATGAGTTATCTCTGTACACTCTTACAGGAAGTCTTACCTCACTTTCTAGAATCATTGGTAAATATTCTCCTCACTGAGCTATTTTTTTGCTAGATGACTTCTTGTAAGATTTGAAGATTTACCGTCCTGTTTTGAATACAGTTTTAATATTTTAAAGACTAAAAGTATAGAAATTAACACTACAATTCCCAGGTAAGCTAGCGGTGCTTGAAGAGTACGGTGACGAGATCAACTCCTTCTTTCTCCACATAATGGAACCTGTCGTTAAGAGGATAGGATTGGAGCCTAAAGAAGACGATGACTTTCAAACAGGGTACGACTGGAAATTAGTGCGATTTATATTTAACTTCGAGCTATTGCGATGACGAAACAGTTTACAATTTCCTCGGCTTGATAAAACTATTTTAATTTAACTTTATCTCAGGTTGTTCCGCGGGGAGATCCTGACAGAAGTAGCTCAACACGGTTACCAGCCAGCTGTAGATTATGCACACAAGCTGTATCAAGAACACATCTCTACTGGACAACAGGTTTGTGTTACCAGTGTGTTACCAGTGTGTTACCAGTGTGTTACCAGTGTGTTACCAGCGTGTTACCAGTGTGTTACCAGTGTGTTACCAGTGTGTTACCAGTGTGTTACCAGTGTGTTACCAGTGTGTTACCAGTGTGTTACCAGTGTGTTACCAGTGTGTTACCAGTGTGTTACCAGTGTGTTACCAGTGTGTTATCAGCGTGTTACCAGTGTGTTACCAGTGCAATGTGTTACCAGTGTGTCTGTGTATTGTAGCATGTGAAGTTAGGGGTACTTTGATCAGGGGCGTGCACATGATTATTGAAAGGGGTAAGCGAGGAGTCGGCGCGAAGCGCCGGCTCCGAGACTACCGCCGCGAGCGAAGCGAGCAGCAGCAGGGGCCCGGGGGCACAGCCCCCGGAAAATTTTTAACTGAATTATATGCGAAACCAATAGGATATCAATACAGAAGGTTCAAAGCAGTTGATAACAAACTTGGTCATTAGAAATATTTTAATTTTCAAAACATTGGACAAATTAAGATTAAAGATGGCACGAATTTTAAGTTATTTCGGATATCTCCAGTCTGAAGAGTGGTAGTATGGTTGAGTGTACGCTATTTGGTACTGGATCGTGATGTCCAATGATTCTGATATAATTATAGATTATGATCGAGGTTCAATTTCTGAACTTGATCAGCATAGATGCCAATTGGCTATCATCAGTAATCTAACATTGTACTAGATCAAAGTAGATACTTTTAGCTACTCTTTCCCATATTAATCTGCCTCTCTCTAATCTCTTGACTCTTTTGAGATCGAACTGTTTCTTAATGTGTTGCCATTTCTGACTGTATTCTGGAAATATTAGCATTCATGTAAGTCATGTTATGTTTAATGTTTAATCCATTTTCAACCTTCCCAATTTCAATTGAATGCTAGTAACGTAATGACCATTAATTATGGATGATGACAGTTACAACGTTTCATTGGATCTCGAGCCTCATGGGGCACGAGCCTCATCGATTCCCACCCAGCCATGAAGAAGTAGCTACCTAGAATTGGGGCAACCATCCCATGGAAAATGTATGCAGAAGGAACGTGTACCTTACAAGACATTTTTATAACGTACGAAATGCGACGGTTTTCCCGAAATTTCGCCATATTTTCGGACCGCCAAAATTTCGGTCGTCGTAATAGAATCCGTCGCATTATTTTTAGCTTATTCCAATAATTGTGGCTTCATCGATTCATTTTGTTCTTGAAAAGTTAGTGATATGATGGTGGGACAAATAAACACAATATTCCATGATGAATTTAATGTCAAGTTATACGTTTTAAATTTACAATAAATTACATTTATGTGCTAACATAAACGTCTTATAGACTAAGTCAAGATAAACAATTTAATACCAAACTCAATAAGTGAAACTGAAAGATTCGAGCCGGACCCCTTAGAGAAAGATGAAGAAATCGTTTTATAAGTTTCATTTTGTTTCAACATGATTTTACCGATTTTTAGAAAATTTTGAATTTCCTTTGTGTCAGAAAACAAAATGATGAAAAATACCCTTATTTTCTGTGACGTCCGAAATGTGACGGTTTTTGTTCAATTTCGCCATATTTTCGGACCGCCAAAATTTCGGTCGTCGCACATTGGTCCGCCACAAAAATGTCTTGTAAGGTAACAGTCTTGTTTCACTAGTTCGAACTTAGTACATTTGTTTAAAAAATAATGCTTGTGTTTGATGTCGTTTAATTTTTTTGTGAAAATTTTTATAAAATTTTTAATACAAATATTTTGTTGCTGTAAAAAGCAATTTTCAACAAAAATTATAGGTCAACATTTCAAAAAGGGGGCGGCGACCGCCTTCATCGCCCCCCCCCCCTCCCTGGGCACGCCCCTGACTTTGATATATATATATAAAATTCGAACAATTGAAACAAATCAAATTGGCGGGCAAACGATCCGTTTCATGATATGTTTAAAACAATACCAATCATCAGGGCAGAATTATAATGCTCCTGCTTAACTGCAGACGAGCACTCTCTTAGCTTTGGGAAACCAAGCAACAACTATTTATTATATATATATTATATATATTTATGTATTTTTCATATTGTTCAGACAGTAGATGTATACGTGTAACATCATCAAATAGGTGTTTTGAGGCTAGATAGGTATCTTGAAGCTGTCGATGAGATTATCTGATGTATAATTGATCAGTGTTTTACGATATGTCGAGTCTAAGTGTAGGATGAGAGTTGGGCCATGTAGACTCCTCAGTCCTCAGTCCTCGAGTCTTCGTAATTTGAGTAATGATGTAGAGTGTAGATGATCAGTAGTAACTATACTTGAATATGAAGTAGGAGACATTGTATTGAGCTGTGCTCAATATGAATGATCCAGCGAATTGCCTAAGGAGTCAAACGACATTCGAAAGCGCGCATGGTTAATGTTATTACGCCAATAAGATAGCCCCTAGGAGACCACTGATCCCACATATTATTACCATAATAACTATACTAATGGGCACATGATCACATAATTGCTGACTGAGCGATTCCGTACAACAACCTTTCTGGTACAAATTTGTCTAAATTTCCCTAACAATGAGAGTAATGCTGAAACGCCACTTTGAGTTTCACGTCGTGGGTGGTCAGGTTTAGAACCCATATTAAACTAGCTCTATTCACCCTTCTGACGTTACTGAAACACGTTGCCCTCTCGTTTGATCTACTCATTACCTCAACTGAGTGTGGACTAAAAAGACCAAAGTATTTCTGACTTCTCTTACCATTGATGGCCCCAGAACTATGAAGTATGAACTCAACAGTTGACCTAGCAGATCCAGTCGAAATGAACGACGTATACAACCCCCACGTCAAAGATTATCCCAACATAAAATATCCTGACATGAAAACTCCCTTCGTCCCCCTCGACTATTCGCTAGGTTTCCTCCTACTCCTCTGTACCTTGATCGGTATCCCTGGCAACATCTTAGGAGTCTTCTACTTCACTTCAATGACCAAGAAAGATCGGGTCACGTTGCTTTACATAATAATTTGCAGCATTGACATCATCACTTCCTTCTCTCACTTGCCGGTTGCCATAGCAATGTTCAGGGGGAGGAAACCAGGACTGTTCAACAACTACCTGTTCTGTGCTCTCTGGGAGACAACCTTTACTATCCTACAGAAAATGTCAATATTCTTAGTCCTGCTTCTAAGCACCCTAAGGACAGTAGCAATAGTGAAGCCCTTCTATAAGATACGGATAAGAACAGTAATGGGAAGTGTGGCGGGATACCTGGTGATCCTGATCCTGATCCCAGTTCTCCAGTATAAGATTCCTCCTCTGCGGGGCGAGTTCAAGTACTCCTGGGATGGGGCCTACTGTTACTACAACTTTGAGATGAAGTTCGAGCACGCTGTGAACCTGGTCATGGTGGGACTCCCTCCCATTTTAACCTTCGTAACCCTCATGGTATCAGTTCTCAAGTTGCATTTCTCTGCTAAAAAGTCTGTAAGTCGGAGTGTCAAGGGTGATAGAAGTCCGAGAGCCAAGGTGATTCAGAAGTGGAAAGACCGAGCAAGCATAACAATAGTGATGTTCAGCAGTCTGTTTCTGGTGTGTAACCTCCCCCTTTTTGTGAACATGATGCACAACATGACCAGCAGGTTCTTCGGGGTGAAGTATCCAGGGGTTTACTTTGGTACTCGCTTCATGTTCTGGTACTCCTGGCACATTGCCAAGATGGAGAGTGTTGTGGTAAACGCAGCTCTCAATCCAATATTCTACTACTGCAGGATGAGACGGTTCCGGTTGTGGTGCAACATGGTTATTACCTGCAGATCCTTTAGACTAAACGACCTTCACGATAGCATGAGACCGGGATTTTCAGGGATGCAGGCTAGTAGTGATGCAGCTTATAGGCTGAGGATGGTGCGTGCTTCGAAGATGGCGAACGGGACATTTGAAAATGGACAATGTCAAACAATGTCACAGAGTGTTGCCGACTCGAGTGGCACTGGGTGTAGTGGGCTCGTAGAGGAATTGGCTTCGTCTTCAGCTGATAATTATTGTGAGACTAATTTATAATTAAATTCATTCAAGAGATAATCAGCATCGGACTGATATGAAGAGGCTTAATAGCTTGAATAATTACTTCTGTTGTGCCCAAATTATTATCGCTATGATTACGTTAGGCTTGTTGGCTTTCTTATAGCTATGTAGACATAGACTGCGCTACATATCGCTTTCTCATATTTCAATATGTTAGATTCATCTCTAATTGGTACAGTATCGGAATACATTGTAGTCTCTTTTAATATTGTATTGTAAATTTAGTAAGTTCGTTAATTTATATTTCTTCATTTAGTTCAAAAACAAGTTAAATTCTTGCATCAAATTCAATGAATTTTTTCCCAAATTACAATCAAAGAAAATCTCAAAGTATAATGGCCATGGTTTTAATACTACTTTATCAAATCAAGGTAAGGTTATTGTTAACCCCTTATGTAATTGCATAATTTATACCCTACGATAAAATGTAACAACTAACAAAAAGTGTCCATATCTTGATATCTTATTATTATATCATTAACATACAATTCTTAGTGTCAAAACCCCATAGTCCGGATCTAGTTGAGCATGCAGAACATGAACACAGCCAGGTCGTAGTATCCTGACTCCTCCATACCATGCTTCACCATCTTCCTCCACACTTCCCAGTGTTCTGCGCTGTCCGCGTGCTCTGTCACAACTCCCTCATCGTCTACCAGCTTCTCTGCTATATCTTTCTGCAGCTGGGGTTGTAAGAGTTGTCAATAAGAAGAGCATTTTCAATAACCACATGTGTCGTTATTACAGACAAAACTTGCAAGAGATACGATTATGTTTATACATATCTAGCTTACCTCAATATCGGAGAGATCAAAGTCAATTCCATCAAAGTCCGCTTGTGACCCCTCGCCACTTAACGTTAAGGTATATCTCATATGGTAGCGTGATTCTATG